GGGGAAACAAATTGAAACCACAAGTTAGTCTTTGAGAACGTTGTTCTCGTGCCCAATCAATGCTCCATCAACCTCATCTTTGGCCAAGTAGGACTTGCTTCCCAACCCTGCCTTCCACAACCTTCCAATCTTCCACAACCCATACCAACGACCTCCTGCGGCCAGGAGTGGTGAAGCCAAAAGGGTCTTCAGGGTTGCGTATTGTTCGCGCTAGGTAGGCAGAGCTGTTGGGTGTTCATCCAATGCCCCAGTGTGAAAGAACACCTCTTAGCACACTCTGTCCGCTGCAAACCAAGGACCACGCTATTGATTTTGGCCGTGGTTGCTATGGGAGGAAGTTGGATGCTTGAACAGCCAAGAAGCTCGCTCCTAACCTGGCATCCTAGAATCAGGCTTTTGTGGAGACTCCTACCCAAGGTTGGGGGGCTATCCAACTGAGTGTGACACACAACTGTCAGCGTGTCAACAATAGACCCTATTGCAATTCAACTGTTAAACCTCTTACCAGAGATGTTGAATACTGCCAACCATCAGCGTTTTATGGGAATGATAGATAGGGACGCCTATTTCTTTTCCTTGAAACATATATATTTTGGAGGTCTACCAAGCGAAGTGGTGGGCTGGAATGTACGGTGCTCCGACATGGAAGAGGCACATTGGTTGGAGCAGTTCCCCCCACAATTCAATGCTTGGACTTGGGCCGTTTGTGCAAAAAGTACAAAGACACGATTGCCAAGTATGGTGTAAAGAGCACCAAGCAGTACAAGTCGAAGACCGGTGTCAAAAGGTTTGCTGGCTCCAAAGCATTGAAGTCAACGGGGTCCCTTGGCTACAGTGTCATAGCCACTAACCTTTTCTCCTTGTCTGTCATGTTTGTACCATAGTGATCTAATTGGAGTTTGGATCCTGCTCAACAATCTTCAATCTTGGGTTCACTGCAAGTTTCCTGTTAGGGTGGGGTTGAGATTTCCTCAATCTTGTCTTGCCACTTGCCCAGGTCTTACCCTCCAAAGTTTGGACTTCGATTGGCCAGGCTTTACCCACGATTCATCCGCACACGTCCTCGCTTCTGGGCTCATGTGGAGGAGAACAACTTGAACTTTGGCATCGATCTCTTCGAATCCTTGCCGTGGCATGATGTGGATTGGTGGGTGGACGCCAGAATGGAATCAGTCTTTCGCTATTTGCGGGGGAGTCATGATTTGAAGTTGGGGGGGCTTGAGGTCCCTTTTTCCAACTGAAATTTAAGTTGAAGACTGGTCACAGTACTTACCGATGTCTCCAAGAATGTTTCATAGAACTGCTTTAGAAAAGCAGTGGTGTGATACACGGTGTCCGTGCCAGTGAACTTGTCGTTATTTTGTCGTCTTTGGGGGGGCATAGATGCTTGTTTCTTCACTTTTGGGAGATGTTGGGTGTGACATGTGTGACCCTTAATTCATTTGGTGTTACAATTCATCAAAACCGGTGCTTCTGGGATTCTGCAGCTTAGCTGATCCCAATTTGGAGCCTGGGACTTAGAGGATGGATTCCGGAGCTTGGCCATTCCAAGATGATAAAAAAAAAAAAACAGTGGGGCCTCGTTTACACAGCTTGAGTGAGAGAACGGTCTTGAATGTACAGTGCAAAAACTTGTTTACTTTGCTTCCACTGAACAATCTTGCAGTCCTGATTTGAGTTTGGAGATGTCAAGGTGCTTCAACATCTCTAAGCTTTGCTTTTCTTGCAACTACATGAAGTACACTTGTACTTTAGTGACTTTCAAACAGTTTTTGATTAATTCTCAGCATGTTTTGAGAATACGTATTTTGTACGCATTTTGTACGTATCGGACCCGTAACGGACCCGTAACGCGTAATAGGACCGTATTTTTCCATCAAAGGGGCGTGGTTTTGCGTACCGGATTACGTGCAATTTCCGTCATCTTCCCGTAACGCTGAAGTTCATTAAACATTATGGTTTTGAGCTGTTTGAGGGATGTTTGTAAGCTTCAATCCCAGTCCCTTCACCATCCAGCCTTCTCGATGCATGAATCGACCTGCATTGGCTCAGAAGAGCCGTCCAGCCACCAGCCTCACACATTTGTGAGTGGGAATGGCTCCAAAAACAGAGAGGAGTAAGCAACCCGTGGCTTCCAGACAGTTCAGCTGCTCGGAGCTGACAGAAGGTCAACGAGCGTTGATGAAGGTGAAACAGGAAGCTTTATCCACAGCTGACCTCCAAAAGCAGATCAAGGACCCATAGAAGTTTGTTGCTGTCAAATTGTATGAGATCTGAGGAACATATACACATCCCAACACAGGTTGAGAGGACACAAAGGGTCCACACCAGCCTCTAGTGTGGACCCTTTGTCCTCTCATCCTCTCTAGGTCATAGGCATGCAAGCGACTCCTATAGGTTTACGCCTGTCATTTACACTTTGCCAGTCACTCATGTTTTTTTGGTACAAGCTCTCACGTCGTCTGCAACTTAAGGTCCTACATCTTGGGAAATCTAACACACACACACACACAACAAACCCGGTCAGTTGAATCACATGCCACAAGCTGGGTCTTTTGATGATTGGACTTAAGAAGTCCTTCCCGCGACCATAGTTGAGGGTGACACAATGTGGCTGCAGGAGTATGAGGCGCAGCTTGAGTCTTTGAAGCAAGCTGCTGAGGCTGCAAACGTGGCTGGGAACCAATTTACTTTAAGCTTTACTGGAAGAAGCTTCAAGTCCAATGGGGCATGAATGCGATGAAACAATGCATTCCGGACAAGTTTTGTTTTGGACATAAGGCTGGGGATTCAGATTTGCATGAGGAGCTCCCTGAGACTGTTCCAGTTCCTTGGCGTCCGTCCAGCGGTTCCGCTTGCATGTTGTTACCCAATTAGCTGTGTAATCCTTCTGCCACCAATGGTATGCAACTTCAGCTTGGGCCCCATTAAGGCTACACCGGAAGAGCTGGAAGCTTCTATTCCTAAGAGGAAGGGGAGGGCGCCGGCTACAACTTCAGCAAAGTCCAAAGCGAAGCCGAGTGTGAAGCATAATCGATCACCCCAAAAAGAAAACGTAGCTTCACCAAACCCCAACCCCCC